CAGCCCCAGCCCTGCGCGGCCGGGGAGCGGCACCGGTAGCCCGTGAGGGGCTCAGGAGCCCCGCGGCAGCGCAGGGCAGAAGTTACCGGCGGGGCCGGGGCGCTGACAGCTGCGCACTCCCCAAACGCTCCCGCCCGCCCCGGGGCAGCGGTGCGGGGGCCGTCCCGGCCCGTTACCTTGTCGCAATAGAGCCCGACGAGCTGCTTCATGCGCCAGTGCGGGGCGGAGAACACGTCCACCTCCTCGGGGAAGGGAGCCATGTTCTCCCCATGGAGCCGCGCCGCGAACGGCGGCGCGAACGGCGGCGCGAGCATCCGCACCGCGCGTGCGCCCGCCCCGCGTGACCGCGCCCGCCGCCCCGCGCGTGCGCCGCTGGCCCCGCCCCTTCCCGCCAGAAGCGGCAGAGCCGGGCGTGCCTCGGCCTGGGCGGCTGCTGCCGGGCGGCTGCCTGTGAGGGATGTGCTCCTGCTCGGCAGCACAGCCCTAGGTTCGTCCCAGTGGGCTGCAGTACTGCCCGACTGGAGATCCCATGCCTTGGCAAGGCCAAGGTAGCGGCTTGCGGATGTAAAAAACATTTACAGAATCAGTTAGGTTGGAAAAGAGCTCTGAGGTCATGGAGTCCAGCCCGTGACCGAGCACCTTGTCTGCTGGACCATGGCACTGAGTGCCACGTCGCCTTTCCTTACTCCGGGGTTGGTGACTCAGTCACCTCCCTGGGCAGCCCATTCCGATGTCTAACCACCCTTCCTGTGAAGAAATTCTTGCTAATGTCCATCCTAGAGCCTTCCCTGGAGCAGTTGAAGGCTGTCCTGCCCTATAGCTATTTGCCTGGGGTAAACGACCGACCCTCGCCTGCTACAGCTCCTCCCAGGTGTTTGCAGAGAGCAGTGAGGACCCCCTTGGCCTCCCCAGGCTAAACACCCCCAGCTCCCCCAGCTGCTCCTCACAGGGCTTGTGCTCTTGCCCTGCTCTGGATGGGCTCCAGCACCTCAGTGCCCTTCCTGAACTGAGGAACACAGAACTGGACACAGGATTTGCGGTGTGACCTCACCAAGAAAGGTCCTAGGAAAGCTATTTGTGTACGCTGCAGCATGGAATCTGCACCCAACCCTTTGCAGCATTTGTGCCAAACAAGTAAAGTGTGTTTGTTTAACATCCGAGGCGAATGGACCAGAAACACCTGCCTGCCATAGTGATCTGCTTGTGCAACATTTCAAAGTAAACAGGAACACTGCCCCAAGTTGAGATTGCACATCCATTTGACAAAAGCTGTAACTGTCAACCAACACGTAGTGTTGTAAAACTGTTGACCAGCATGGCAATGCTCAGTAAATGTCACCAAAATACTTTGTCAAACACACAATAGATGCAGCAGGCCCTTCTGACTGAAAACTGTACAAGGTCTTTGTTGCAGATATTAAATGTATTAGAGCTAGCGAGGTCATAGGTGTAAGCAATTCATTGTAAATGTGTTGAAATATTTTCAGCAAAGTCACGTGAGTTTTTAGTCTGGTATTTCTCAACATACTAATGTTGGGAATAAAATGCTGGTAAAAACAGTAAATAGTGAACTAAGCAGAAGAGCTCATGAGTGTTACTTAGCTGACGCTGTGCACAATAATCTTTTTATCTCTTTATCTAAGGAAATGGGTCTTAAGCAATTGCAGAGCTAGGCATTTCCTTTTCCATGAATCCCTTCCACCTCAAAGGACTTTTGAACACACTGACCTACTTAGCCATATTTGCAAATATGTGCAAACCTTGAAAGGTTAAATTCTTACAACTTTGGTGTGGGAAAAGAAAGCAGTTACACAGGAGGGAAGAAAGGAAGGCGAAGCACAGGTGTTACACAGCTGGCTAGCCAGCACACAGCTGTGTTTACTGCTTGGCAAGTGAGCAGAGCTCTGGGTTTGGGCTGGAGCATGACTTTCACAGAGAGTGTGCCCTGGCAGACAAGGGAGCAGGTGAGACCTTGTGTTACTGCTGTAGGTGACTGATGCACTGAAGACACAAACCCTTAAGAAACAATGTTTGAAGTTCATTGCTTACAGAGGAGTTTGTGAATATGAGGTCCTATTTCCAGGCCTAGAGCATGTGGCCATACAGAGTTGAGGTTATTCAGAAATTCATGCTTGAGTAGTGGCAGAGGATTAACGTTATCATCTGTTACACCTTCCTACTCCTGGAACTTACCACTCCCAACTGATAGAAATAACAGGAGAGAACATGTTGGTTCCTCGTCTTCTGGGGTTCAGAATGTAAACATTTGCTGCATTTCATGGTTGTTTGGGTTTGTGAACTGTCACAGACATCTTTTCACTAAAAATCCTTTCTTAGGATTTTTTCCCTTCTGAGGAGCTGAGGCCTCAGAAACAAAATGTAAACACTGGTTATCTGCTGCTGTGGAATGCATCAGGTGGATTTTTGATTGGCCCATCTTGGATGTTTATAATTAATGGCCAATCAAGGCTGAGCTATCTCGGACAGAGTGCGAGAGAGCTGCCTTTTGTTATCATTCTTTTCTATTCTATTCTTAGCTTAGCTAGCTTTCTGAGGAAACCTTTCCTTCTATTTCTTTTTAGTATAGTTATAATGTATATATATTATATATTTATATATATCGTAAAATAATAAATCAAGCCTTCTGAAACATGGGGTCAACATTCTCGTCTCTTCCCTCATCCAAGAACCCCTGTGACCACTGTCACAGTGAACTACAGTATCTCCAGAGATGATATGCTGCCAATTTTCTGACTTTTCTTCATGAGCAATAACATCATCTAGGAGAGAAGGGATAGAGAGGAAGGAACAGTGATCTACATCCACCATGAATTGCCAGACCTCAGGAGGCAAGATGGGCAGCCAGTTTGTGGCAGTGAATTACAATACTACAAGAAAAATTACCTGATAAAATTATTAAAATACTGAATTTTCATGGAGTAGTTTAAGGGTTGACTTGGTAATTTTTGACAAGAATATACATGGAAAGATGATTCTGAGGAGGGATTCTTCATTAACGTAACAGAAAAAGAAATCATGAGATTCAGTGACTGGAAGCTAGAAGTAGACAAGTTCAGGCCAGAGCTAAGGTTTTACTCTCAACTCTGGAACCCTGGAAATTGTTAGAATATTTAGAACAAAATATGAAATATTCAGAACAAAAATATGAACACAAATTTAAAATGGCTGTGCTGAGTCAGATCAGAGGCCCTCCTGGCCTGATGTTGTGTTTCTAGACATTGCCAGTGGGGAAAGGAAGCTTGAGAGGAGCTGAAATGGGGATCCTAACAACTCTTGGATCCACTTCCTCTGGGATGTTTTGACAGGTTGTCTATTTGTTAAGGAACCCACATCTTCTTTCCCAAGGTGCTGTGTCCTAACCAGGTGTGCACTTGGAGAAACATTCAGTATCTGTGTGACTTCTTAACTTATACTGTATACTTTAAGCAAAAGTTTCTAGCCTTGATGCAAAAATCAGTGACAATTTCTGCACATTTCTCTATAGAAGATCACATCACATTCTGGTTTCTGTTAGATTCTGAAATTACTGAGCAAAATTTGATTGCAGCAAAGTCAATAATAAAAGAAAATGTTCAGTGACTTCCATGGCTATTGCACTCTCTAGTCCTGAATCCAAAGTATTGGCTTGAAACCATTTTATTATTGTTCTGGTGCCCTATCTGCATGGACATAGAGAGGTTAGGAAGAGAAATAGGAATAAAAAGCATTAGAGAAGCAACAGGAGTAAAGTACATAATTTCCTATGTCTCTGCCATATCAAGCACAACATTTCACATCCATTTCTGAGTAAATCTGAAGTAAGTCTTTCCTGAAGACTCTGCTGCAGGTAGCAACCAATTGGCTATATTTCATCACATTTATAGCAGAAATCCATCATCAGGAATTTACTCAATGATTAGCCAGATTTTTCCCTCAGCAAAATCCACCAGCTGAGTACCAGTGCATCAACAGAAGTGTGACACTACTTCATAAATAAGCACACAAAAATAAAGTTATGTATTCACTGAGGGAAAGAAAGAGAGAAAGAAAGAAAGAAAGAAAGAAAGAAAGAAAGAAAGAAAGAAAGAAAGAAAGAACGAACCAGCATGGTTCCTCAGTAATGTGAGTGCAAAAATACTTGGAGGTTGAATTTATTTTTTTAAAGGAAAAAAACCCAATGTGGTTGTATTTGCAGCAGTGTGTACCAGAGAATATTCTGAAGATTAGATTGATTGGTGCCTTTTGACGTTCTAACAGAGTACTTAGGGGAAAGAACCTGGAGGAGGATGACAACAGAAGCTGAAGACATTTGTTCAGTGCACAGGGTATAAACTGTAACCCTTATGTTTCTCATTATGATTGATTCATGACTGCAAGGCAGGGTTTTTTCACGAACACATGATGCACATGTCGTCACAACAAAATGCCACTGTCACTGCCCAGGGCAGAGATGGAAAAAGAGCTGACTAATGTTACCCCTGATAAGATAACTCAGGGACTTGGATATTTACACTGTCTTTGCTGTAACTGCATATTTTAGGTTAGGATTTTTTGTTTGTTTTGTTTTGTTTTGCTTGCAAGCATTTCTTAATGGTTTAGGAAAGGGAAGCACAGCAACGAATATTAAGCGACCCAAAGGCATCCTAAGTATTCAAGCGGTTAGGGTTTTTTTCCTCCCTTTATGGATATATACTGCAATTCTCTTCAGTTATCACCAGGTGGCCTTCAAAGTTTCTCGTTTTTCAGAAGTGGGGAATAGTTTAGACACGAGGAAGTGATGTATCCCTGTGCTGCAATCGTTCCAGGAAATAGTTAGGTTATAGTTTCCAGCAAGGTTTTTTTTTCCGCCTTTGTCTTCTGTACTGAGCTGTCGCTAGTACTGAAAACATTAAATGTTCAGACTGCAGGTTTCCATTTAAATTGTATCATTGAACTCTCCTTTTTTATTTATTTTTTTTTTTCTGTTAAGTATTGGATTGTCAAGAATTCGGATTGTCAAGAATTCATTATGATGAGCCTTTTTTTCCCTCTTTTATTTGTCTCTGTTCTGTGTATGAACAGCTTCTCGGGAGTGCAGGGAAAGAAATGGAAAGGTGAAGGTACAACTCAAAACCTGGAAAGTATTGTCATTGGAAGATGCTATGAGTATATTAGACTTGTGAATCCTGCTGTTGGGTAAGTTTTGCTTGTTTCTGGATTAGTTTTTGATGTTCTGTACAAAATGGTTGTTAATCAGAAGCTGGATGTTATGCTTCTAGCCATGCTAGTGATCCTTTTGAAGCCAACATGCTTGTAGCTGTCTGGAAACAACAAAATGACTTTGATGGATGTCATATTTTAACTAAAGTAGTGTAATTGAGACAAGATTTTTAATTCTTCAATTCTTTATTTCACTTTTTTGCCCACTTCACCCCACCTTTCTTTCTGTAAGGAGAACAACAGACAGAAATGACAGGGATGGTGTTTTGGAAGTACCAAATCTGACAGCAGTCCTGGCAAGACAGCTTTGCCTTGAATGTCTTTGTGTCAGGTCACGTTCAAAGGGGAACACTTCACTTTACAGCTGTCCTGTGGTACTGAAGGAACTGTTTAGCGCATCCACCTGAAAAATCAAGTGCTAATCAACTGCTCCAGTGGGGTTATCTGTGAGCTTCTATTGGCTGTGCTAATTATACAGAACTGGAGGTAAATCACACACTTTGCTAAAACAAGCACTTTTCTGTCTTCCTTGCATTGTAAGGGCTTTGGTAAAGAGGAAGAAAATAAGAAGGATAATCTCCTGGACTTCAACCCTTTATTCTACCACTAAAAAGTTGTCCTAAAAGCGTGAAGAGGTATTTGCAGAGGGGCCCTATCTGGTTTCCAGTGGCATTGAATTGCCTTCTTTAAACAGGATTAGATGATATTGCAAATATCACCTCCACTCCCTAACCTCCCATTTTCAGTTCCTGTTGCAAAAGAGGAAGATAAAGGACTTAAAACAAATTTTTCCCTTTTAACAAAGGCAAAACAATATACTTCTGCACAATAATACTCTTAACCTATTAGAAGTGTTTTCTTTTAAGTTTTTTATGAAGGAAAAAAGATCATCCTCATGCAAATAACACAATGCATGAATTTCAGTGGAACAATTCAAGCTTGCCAAATTTATAAACATGTCACAATGGAAAGTGGAAGTAAACTTTAAGGGTAGATTTCTACATTCCTACAATATATTACATAATATAAAATATGTGAACTTAGTTTACAGTTGTGTAGGTAATTTGCTATTGTGGCAGGCTCTAGATAGGTAGAGCTTCTGCAGGACTTAACAGATGCCACTTCATTTATATCTGAAACAGGACATGAATAATAATCCAGAATATGCTAAAATGAGCAACATAAAGGATAGTTACTGTAGAAATTTGAACTGTATTGTTAATTGTGTTGGACTTTTAGAGATATAAATGCAATATTCTGGAAAACATTTCTGTGTGTCTCATGTTTATGATAGTTTTGTGGTTTACTGAATTCTGGTTACATTTTCACAACATGATTTTAAAATTTAGATGTTTGAATATGTTCATCAATGCTCAGGATAGCATGAAGCCAGGCAGGACATTAAGACTACTTTCCTGAATTTAGACCAAAAATGGCATTATTAAAAGAAGAGCTACTCAGCTGATTTCTTATAATGTGAGGATTTTTCTCTTTCCCTTAGCTCTACATGCTAATAATGTAATCCAAAGAAAATGGAAATTTCATAATGCACAGGTGCAAAATAGATATTCTAATTATTAATAGCCCATTCTGTTCATTGTCTGTTTCTTAGTTGCCTCCGGCTAGCTTTTATAGAAACGTGACCACCTGGATAGGTTTTGCTTCTGAATTTATGTGCAAATTTTCTAAAAAGACTTTGCTAACTTAAAGGAAGCTAGCAAAACATGTCTTTACACTGCAAGATTGTTAAAACATAAAAATGTTTATAGGAACATACGAAAAATTTTTCCCACATGTTAAAACAGAATGTGCAAATGCAGAAGTGAGGAATTTGAATTAAGATCACATTTGACATTTCCTAACAGGAGAATGTTAGGAAATAACACAAATGTTCCTATAATGCTTTTTGTCCATATTTGTTTATTTATAGTATATCATGAAAGCTTTGAAAACAATTTTTAACTAAATAACGTGAAATTAATTCTGACTTATTAATGTCTAGTAAGATTAGAGGGAATTGTCCTGAAAGCAGTCCTGAACAGCAGGCCTCCCCAACCCTGTAGTTTCAAAAAGTGTTTTTGCCAGCTAACAAGTTTTGAGTATCAGAGCAGAATAATCCTTTTGATTTACAAGCTGTTCAAAACTGGGTGAGAAGTCATGAAAAAAAAAGCAATATGTGAGTTAACCAGAAAATTACTGATGGATGCACCTGTCAAGAAAGATCTTAAAAGTGCAGTTGATCGTAACCCACAAGTACTAACGTAAGTGCTTTGAGTACAAAGCTCTTTAGCAAAATGAGACCTAAGTATAAACAACTGTCAGAAGCCAAAGTATAACAGCTTGAAATCAGAAATAGGGTCCAAATTCTTTTATTAAGTAAATCTGTTTAAACCTTGAAACTAATGATCAAGGATCATATTGCATCACTGAAAATTTTCAGGTCAAGATCCATATCTGCTTACAGTATATAGGGAATTTTTATATAGTTGTTGGAAGCATGACAAGAGATTTCTGTAAGAAAATCTGTGGTCTATTTCCTGCAGAGCTCATCACATGGGCTCCTTTAAAGTGTCTGTGACATTCAGTGTCACAAAGCAGCTCCCTAAAGAACCTGTACCAGCAGAAACCTTGCTGTATATGGATGATACTAAATGAGCAAAACACTGCAATGGCGAAGTTTGGTTTACTTATCAGGACTACTGTTGTTCAAGCTAGAGCTTTGCAATGACAGCCATTCATGTTAGGAAGGCTGTATGCACATAATGTAATTATTCTGTTGTGCAGAGTGTTCCTGGCATAGACATTGTCACAGCATTATGTGGGGAAGGTATTGTGGAAAAGTGGTGAAAACAGAAATTCCCTTCCTAATTGCTCCAGGCAGGCTCAGAGCTGTGACAGGTGAGATCCTGAAAGTCCAAAGAGATAGGACACTTCCATCTCTAGACAGCCTGTCTTGTCCCTCCATGGAAGTTCTTGTCCCCAAGACAGAGCTGGCAGAAGGGAAATGTAGGAGTGCACAGCCTAGCATCTTATTTCAGCACTCCAAGTGTTGAATGCTAGCAACATACTTGTACTTGTTGTAGCTACTGCATAGTAACACTGTGTGTCCCTGTCACACAGTCCCTGGTCACCATACTCATTCCAGCAAGAGAAAACTGCACAGTCCCAGGGCCTAGAAGCTGAAGGCATCTGTCACCATCATTACTCTACCATCAAAGCTTTTTAGCAACTCATCCTGCATTTGAATCTGACATTTTAAGAGTAGTATTGCATTCCAGTAGCATTGCATCTTTAGCTATGGTTTATTTGAAATGGTGTTTTGAATCTGGAAAATTTTAAAGAAAGCTATTTCTTCAGTATTTCTACAGTGTTGAAGAGCAAACTTGCTGTGTATACCATACCTACTAAGGTTTTTGTTGAATCATAATGTGTTTCTAATTCCACACTGTAAATACTAATATTTTCCTTGCTACTTCTTCCTTATCTGCTGCAGTTATGACTCAGAAGACAAGATCTCTATGCTCTTCCTGAGCTACAAGTTTTTTACCACCCTGACTTCAGTTTTCTTCCTTAACCTTATATGAATTTTAATTGGGGTATTTGAAAGAGTTGAGAACATGCATCTTTCTTGCTCAGCTTTGAAAAAACAATTTTGCTATTTGTTTTTTTTAATGATTACAGTGAGAAGAATTGTTCACAGATATGGGAAGCATTTAAAAATGCATTTATTAACAAGGATCCTTGCAACATTCTACCTGAGGATTATGAATTATTTATCAACCTTACATTTCACACGATTCCACCTAACAAGGTAATAATTTTTTATGTTAATTGCCCTGTGACATACAACAGATTTTATGTGACACAGTTCAAGACTGACGAGTCATTCTGTAACTGATTTGTGAGTCACTCTCTTTGACCAGTCTGTAGTTTATAAACTAGACTCTGTAGTTCATAAACTAGACTCAAACTTGATAGCATGTTTCAATGTGTTTGGCTCCATTTATTTTATGCAGTAACTTCTCAGCAATGTCTCTCTTTTCATACCACAGAGATCTCCCCTTTTTCCTGTTGTGCTGGGAGCTCTGCCACAGTCCCTGAACTTCCACTTCTGCTTTTTCTTAAGTTAGGTGCTCTGGCTGCAAATGCTGTGCCTGCTATCACCTTTTGCTTTTACTCCTCACAGCTAAGTCTCATGGCAGTGCCATGTTAAACACTGACACACTGAACAAGCAAAAGCAGAAATGAGAGAGGATGTTGTTCTGTGCCAGAGAACAGTAAGGGTTTGATGTGCTGGCAAAGAACCATGGAAGTGCAAAAGATGTGTTGTGCCCCTGGTACAATTATTCCTCATTTCTAAATGCTACAAGCTAAACCAACAAATACTACTGTCAACATGGCTTAATTCATAAGGAGTTCTGCAAACACAGAAATAACATCTTAGACATATGGGGTTTTTTTCACACCATAAGCCAACATAGCAACGTTGAGAGATTTCTGGTGACATATATCTGGTTTATAAATATCTTCCTTTTTTCTTCTTCCCCTAAATCTGTCTGCTGAGGCAGGCAAAGCTAGGCCTAACTATATTTAAAGTAGGACTATATCCCTTCTCATCAAAGTACTACTGTTCCTCAAGTCACTTGTGATCAGAATTTACACCTCTGGAAAATTAAAAAACTTTATTCCTTTAAAGAGATAGCTAACATTTCTGGTTATTAGCTTGATTTTGAAAGAACTACCAAAACATGTTTTCAGCTGTTTTCAATACCCCATAATCTCACTGTGTCTGCACCCAGGTGTTGGTACATTTCTTCTCTATGGTTTTTTTTTTCTAGTCTCTTTTCTGGGAAAATAATCAGCTACTAGTCACCAGCCTTGCTGCCAGAGGACGTCGCTACATGTCTGTGGGTGATACTCTCTTTGGCTTCCTTGCAGATTTTCTGATCTGGTGTGGGCAGACAGACAGCCCTGGTAAGACAATGAGGGCTATGTTAAACATTTATCTGTAAAACCATAATGGAGACCAACTGCTGTGTCCTGGAGAAGCTAAATTTGCTCTTACCCCATGGAAACCCAGGGATAACTTCACTGTCTTGTTCTTTCTTGTGTCATGTGAATATTTAACACTGCAGTCGGGGGAGCAGACAGTGAAATCTAAATGGTCCTGCAGTGGGGATAAACCTGTCATTCAGTCTTCTGAACCTGGAGCTCCTTGCATCCCAGGAACAGAGTTAGAGCCATTTCAGCCAAATTACTGAATCCTCAGAATGTCACTGTTTGTGTAAACTACAGAGGATGGAAGATAATTGAAAAAATACAACAGCTTTCAGTGCTATGTCAAACATAGGTTGTGGGTCAGTGAGTAATGCACAAATATATTTAGTTGCTTGCTAAAGTCAATTTTATAGTCATTATCATCTCTCTAATGGCACAAATTCCCTGCCTTCCTACAGGCCTGGACTATGAATCCTGCCCCACCATGGCGGAATGTGAGAACAATGCAGTGGATTCTTTCTGGAGGATTGCCTCAGTCACTGTAAATATTTTATTAGTGCTGACTTCATACATCTGTGAGTGTGTCCAGTGTGGTTCAGGAAAACACTGCTAGTTCACAGCAGATTTAAACCTGTAACTCTACTGGATTATTTCCCCTGATAGAAATACACTGTTTTAGACTACCTGCAAGTGTTTTAGCAAGGAGAACTTAACATTCACCTTAGCTAGATAATGTGTTAAAATTCTGTTAGCTTTGTTAATAAAAACCATATACTAAGCACAGTAAGCACACTGACTGTCTACTGATTACAGGTCCTAATTTGAGAGCTTTGCTGAAAACCCTTTACTTACATATCAAACTCAATAGAGAATGCCAAAGTGCTTTCTTTTTGTGCTGAAGAGTACTTATAAATGTGAGAAAATAGCTTGAGAAGAATCATTGAATTAAACCATGGCCTGTTTGGTTGCTGTCCTTTTTACTTCAGTGACCTGCTAGGGTGCTAGTCTAGATTATCTTTGTGGTTCCGATAGTCTTTGTGGTAAAATTCTTTCCTTGGTTACTGTTGTTTGCAATGAAATACCAAGTTACATGTCAAATCTGAGAGATCTGAAAAGCACTGTTATCTATTGCAGTATGCAAAGCACAGCTCTGGGGTGATCCAGGTCTTGCTGAATGGTTCTGCAGAGGGAGGAGCTTATCCACAGCCAGGGTAAGAGAACTGACTGATTTCTGTCTGGAGTCTGTGTAGTGTGATTTTCTGTGTAGAGTCTGGATGACTACAAAAAAAAAGAAAAGTCAACCAATTGTTTGGGTTTTCTGCTGCACAAAGCATGGGAAGTGTGGCTGAAAGGACCTGCTGCATCAAAGGCTGCTGAGTTGTGGGGACAACTGTTAATTGTTCCTAGCTGAAGGATTAATACATACTGGATGGGAACAATCCTTTCAACTCCTGCATTTTACAAACTGCTGTGGCAAGCATGGTGAATGCTCTAAAGGCTGCCCTAGAGTCAGCCAATGTACTGTGGCAAAATGTGTATGTCTTCAAAAAGATGAGTGCTAATGAAATTTCTCTTCAGGGACATGTCCAAATAGAGTATATTGTTATAAGGAGTGTAGCTTTTGTCAGACCTACCAGCAAACTTGGTAAGTTCTAAAGGAAAAGGTATTTCTCCATGATCAAGAGTGTATGTAGTTTGAAGTCTATTATTGTTTCAGAAAACAAAAAAAAATGTTTGTTGAGGAGGATACTAGTGAAGATGAGCTTCTTCGTCTTCTTCTTAGTTCCTTTTATATTAAGGACAGGTGTATTTTTCCTGATTCAGAGGTGTACCACCATGCAGAAGCTTATCTAAGCTTACATTCAAAATTTATTGTAAAAGTACAACCTTTAGAACTTTTACTATGTGTCTTTAGTGACTGCTTACCTGTGGTAAGAAATGCATCCTTCATTACCTCAGCAACTGTCCTGTCCAAGGCAGATCAAAAAATTACATCTTTTAAAAACCCATAGAAGAGACTCTCCTCCTGTATATTCATGAGGACTAAAAATAACCTTTGAAAAGGCGGTTTTTATCTCTGGATGGGAGAGAAAGAAGAACCGTCTTTTCCAAAACACCTCCTAACTACTTACCTCTGTCCCCCAAAACATCCATCTCTGTACACAGCTTTCAGCCAATCACAAAGACTTAAACTGTCTTCTTGGGCTGGTCAAATAGTCAGCTGGGATCAAATCTTCTGCAGGTGGTAATACCTGGCAGCAGGTCAATACCTAGAATCTATTATAGATTCCTTATTTTAGAAATGGATTCCTTATTTCTGTTAATTTACCGATTCCTTATTTCAAAAAACATCTCACACACACATTATTTCCACCAGCCCCCTGGGTTGCCAGTCTGGTGGTATTTTAACCAGTGAAATCACCCCTGGAACTCAGCCTGCCAAGGAGAAAACAAAGCCAGTTACTCCATCTGTTTTCTTTGCTCTGTATCTTCTGGTCCATTTATGACTGAATTTGCTTGAGAGATCATGTTTGAAAAAAGCTGGAAGTTGAATAATTAATAGCAAAAGTAATCTCAAAGATCTGCCTGTCTTCCTAACCATCTCTCTGGTCTGTTTTCAAGTATTTCAAGTGCTTTGCAAAGTTTATTCAGTTTAAAGTTTGTACACTTAAATCACCATTAAGTCACCTGATATCATTTCAGTTAAGATTTATTTCTCATTTCATGGCAAAATAACTTTGCTCATTCACACAGTGTGAATTTAGTTGGCAGATTTCTTTACTAATAGAAGCCAGTTCCAAAACTGGTTTTGCTGAAGTCAGTTGTACATTGTACATTATTCCTCCACGGTTTCTGACGCCTCTAGTTAAAGATTTCTCCAAATTTGGGTGCAAGCTTCTTTTTTTCTGATAGTAGCCTATGCATGACTGAGTAAATGAGTTGGAATCTTTATTTTTTGTTATATTTTCACTATGTGTTAGGCAGGCTTGGACACCTTGGACAGAAAGGCAAACGTGCTGTTGCTGCTGCTGGTCTCTGGTCAGCTACCACCACACCAGACTGGACCAGAGAAAGCAACTCCTGCTATCTGTCCTCCTGTTCCACTTCCCCAGAAATCTGAAATAATTTGCTGACTTCATGAAGCACCAGCCCCTGGCAAGCAGCACATGTCCTGTGCTTGCATGGCAGAGCCTGAAGGGCTGGGAGAACAGACCCACATTGTCACTGCTGGTCCCAGGAAGGGCAAATAATGGTCCCTTCTTCTCTTTAAATGTTCTGAGAACTTTGTGGAGGTCACAGAACATTTAAAAGGGCTCAGAGACACTGTAGTGCTGATACAGACATTTAAGAAGACACATGATAGCAAATAGTAAATTAGAGGAGAGACCTAGGCCCAGACTTGGACCAGGCATTCAGCCCTTACAAGCTTTCTGAGTGAAAAAAAAACCCTAAAGGATAAGAAATCATTACACTGTATCTTGCTAAAAGGGTTAGAAATCTATGGCTCTGAAATGCCAGCATCTTACAAAAAAAAAAAATAAAAATCAATCTAGAGACATTTAAATCAACCTTTGGATTTCATATCTTTTTAGATTAGATATTATGAGGAAGTATCAAAGGCTTTTTGATTTGTTTTTGCATTTTTGAAAGTTCATTCTTGTTCACTTTTAGGTGAATTCATTAATACAGAGGAGGAAAAGGACTGTTTAATTTTCATGTTCTTTATAGTTAAATTTTTTTTTTCTTGAATCAGTTTTTTTGCAGATTATGAAATACCTAATTTCCAGAAAGACAAAATCTCACAGGTTGTCATTTGGGTTGTGGATGATATTGAAGGACCAGATAGGTAAGTTATGTCTTCAAAATAAAAATTAGTTTCTCCCTTTTGAACCTGTCTTTATAATTTCACCTTATCTTTCTGTTTGATTGTATTTGCATACTACTTAAAGCAAAGTATTTTAGATGCTTTCATGTACACAGGAGACACAACCTGCCATTCTCAGAGAGTAGAGAAATACCAGAATTAGAGAAAATATAAATAAATTCTAATATTAGATCTGGAGCCAACTCTTGGTTAGATGTGTGTGTGGATCTCGGACCCTGAATGAAGATAGAGCATGAACAGTTTTACTAAGAGTCAATCTGAACTTCAGATTAAGTGCTGATTAGTGATATTTCTTTCACCTTGCCATATGCATTGTTTTCATTTTCTCCTATCTTAACTGTTTGAAAGTTTGTAGAAGCAGGCAAATACCAACTGGTGGCTCTTTTTCTCTCAATAATTAATCCAGTAATAAAATGTAGGCTTTAAAAGTGTCTAATTTTGCTAATTTTGGTAATTTAAATAAAGCAAACAAATAATTAATAAGGAAATATAACAAAACTGATCAGTCCAAACAGTTTGGGCTGTTTGTTGTGAATTTTACCACAATGCTGTGGAGTGTACATAACATGGTTCAGATTAGCATTTTTCAGTCTCTCTAAATCAAAGAATCATACCCTCTGGGAGTGAAAAAACATACAGATAATCTTTGCAGAAGTTGCCCTTTTTACAAAGAAAAGCTAAGACAAGCACTGAATCTTAGTTTATGTTTCAGTAAATGGATGCATGGGAGTAATTGTATATTTTTATTAATTGTTTCCTACAATTACTTTGTTGGTCTCTATATGCTTTCTTTAGTCATGGGTATTTACTGACCAGCAGATAAGTAGCACTGGCCTTAATATTTTATGTTGATGCAGGTTTAGATGTCTCAGTAGATTCTGTAAACTTTCTTATACTAATTGGACTACAAATTAAAAAATCAGTGCTAGAAACAAGAGCTGTGTTTAGGAATGTTTCTGAGTTTTTTCTCTCTGTATTTTTCTATTATTCAGTATTCAAGAGAGAGAACAAGATTCAAACAACAAGTATAATTCTCATTTATTATACCAAACTTATTGTGTAAAGACAGATAGCATCAATTTTATCACTACCTAAATAGTTGCCAAAGAATATCACAAACAAAACATTTTACAAAATTATTTAGGTCTTTTTCTGTCTAGTCAAATATTAAACAGAGGATTATTAGTGAATAGAATCTGAAAAAGCTACACTGGCTGAAGATAATCTTCAGACTCTGTAAACTGGGAAAAGGATGAATTGTAAAACAACAGTAATGTAAGCAAATGAAACACAAAGAGCAATGTACACCATTCTTCTAGTGGTGTTATGGAATACAGAAGAGGCAAAGTAATGGGGATTTACTTTACTAATTTCATCAAGTTCAGTGAAAAAAAAAATATATAACAAAAGATTTGCAATAATATTGAAAACCTTCCTCACAGAGATTCCTGTGGAACTAATAGTGTAAAGACATTAGAAACCAGGCTGAAAACTCTTGGATTTGATGTCACTTGCACTGACAATTACAAGTAAGTGAAAACCTTATCTATTTTGATTCTTACTGTGCAATACTCAAGTGCCATAAATGTCGTGTCTTCAGGAGGGACTGATATGTTGGAGGGATGATGTCACATTTTTAAGACTTGGCATTTTTTGGTTGCTTATTGAGCAAAACACTACATCTTACTGTATGATTGAGTGGAACATTGTTCTTAATGTCAGACACAGAAGATGGCCTCATGTACTTGGATTTAAAATCAAACAATAATTATAAACACTATTGAATGTCTGCAGAATTACCAGCTATTCACAATAGATTTCACAGCTCTAGTATTTCCCATAGATTGTAAGATAAATTTAATGAAGGGAAGATTTAAACATGATAGTACTGTGAATTTGTTTCATTTTTTCATGGTTTTTTGTTTTTTCTCAGTTGTCTGCCTGAAAGGTGGTAAATAAAATGGTATTTTCACAGGTCTGTAATGTTCTTACTCTGCCTGGATTATCCTGATCATTCTAAGTGTGCCTTTGCATCGTAAGTAAAAGAAGTTCAACCTAGCCCAGTGTCATTACAACCAAATAAATTAGGCAGAAGTCAACAGATCCCACCTCTACCACCTGTTATATGTTCTCCATATGCAATACACAGTGGTCTTGAATTTGTTAGTTACTGTGGATTGAATTAGCAGTTTCTATTCACAAATTGTGCACAGCTGTCTGTGAGCACCTGCTGTTCAAAATTAGGTGTTAATGGGTTCTCATTGATCACACAGTAACACTGTATATCATTGATGATGTGAAGTTTGTACATATCACTGTTCTGATATAAAATCTATTACAAATTTGAAGTTGCTTTCATTAATAAAATTTCTTGAATAATCAAATTATAGATCAAATGGCAACAGATCTAAAAGACATTTACCCAACTATTGGAATTTTCAGCTCTAAATTTTGAGGAAATTTTCTTTTATCTTCTATTTTGTGTGAGACTTAATCTCTATATTTTGATGTATTTACCTTGGGCCAGTGAGTTATCTACAAAGAATGCAGATTACATCCAAGATATAACTTCCTAATTAGCAAGCATTGCTCCCAAACTCCCTACTTATCCATATTTATCTATATTATATGAGGAGCACTAAATTAATTTATCATGCATTTCAGTGAATTTACAGTAAAGATTACTGTTTTCAATTCTGACTATGTTTCATAATCTATATGCTATGGCATAAATAGGTACACATGAGATACTTGAACATCTGAATGAGAACTTCCTCACTGTTTGGAATGTTGTAGAATTCATCAATACATAAACACTGATTTGTGGTTATATTCTTCTTATGTATAATCCATGCTTTATTTCTCGCTGTCCTTCCTTCCCTATTCAAGCACATGCAAATTTTTGTTTGCTAATACTTGTGTGATATTGCAATGATAACTTCTGCAGTGAAAGTCCCGATTTGCTGTCCCTGGTTATGGCAGCAGAGGTGCAACTCCAGCTTGCCTGCCTCTGGTAGGGGCTGTACATGCATTCGTATATTCATGGAGTGCTTCCTGCAGTACAGAAAAGGAGGTGGACAGTACCTTCTGTAACAAATGCCCAGTTCTTGGTACACACTGACAGAGAAATGAGCATTCCCTGTTCTTGCTGGTCACTGAAAAATTTTACTCACCTTGCAATGCAACATGTATTCTTGCATGCAAATTATATCCTAGCATATAAATGTTATGCAAATGGTGGGGTTATAAATTCCACTGATAGCTCCAGACCTCTGGGCAGTAGGTCATAGAACAGACTTCCTGTTAGGGCTTTGATTGGTTACAAAATGCCACTTGCTCAGTGGATTAAAATAGGGTTTCCTTGTTCTGCAACTGAATGGTCACCCCAGGACAACGTGTCAAATGAAAACACAGTTATCCCCTTCAAAATAATAGCTGTGAACATAATGACAATATTAACAAACTGGAAGAAGAGCACAGGACTTTGGAAAAACCAATATTTTATTGAGGTCTTGACAGAAGATTTTTCTTCTCTCCCAGGTTTTAAATAATTTTCCTCAAAATTTTGTGATGTGTGTGTGCTACTCAGCTGAGGAAGCCTGGATGAGAAGGTTTTTGGAAACCACTAATGTGTTTTTCCTTTCAGCTGAGGGTGAGCATGCAGTTCTGCAGTATTGCCACAAGGCGTTTGCAGTGTGCAAGCAGGGGAGCAGCCGCCCCTTCCCTCCCATCCTTGTCGGTTCTCACAGTAACAATCCCTGGTGAACTTGAAACACCAGCCTCACCCTCTCCTGGGGTAACTCCAGAGCAACTCAGCTGTTCTCATCCTCCTTAGGAAAAGTTTCCTTGCTTGTTTCCTTCATGAGCACTATATTCCATCCCCCATGCATGGCACTGTAATAAATTTGATTAATTTCTTATCTATCCCAAATCACAACAGAGCTTCCCAATCTGAATGCAAAACTATCATTTCCTCTCCCTGAAATTTAAGTAATTTAAATACTATAAGCCAATGAATACTTACATTCTTCCCAGAATCACTCAATTCTCTGCAGCAAATAACACCACCTCCATAGAAATGAGCTGCCTTTTCAAAAAGAGCCTTAAGCAGATGCATATAAATGATTTGATGATTGATTACCACAGGTACGTTTTCTGTGTTCTGTGGTGGTCCATTAGCTGGCTAGGGGCTGGTCAGTGGGGGTATCACTAATTGCAGTGGGTATCTGTTAGGAAAAGTTTCCTTTGCAGAGCAGGTGCTGTCAGTGTTCACACTTCCATAGTAAACAGTGGGGCGGGCATGCAGGGGCTCATGCATGCCCTTTCACCAGGGCTGGTTGCTGTTCCAAGGCTGATGGCTGCCCTCTCAGCCTCCACAGAATAATGTCCTGAGCCCAAAAACATCAGAGTTGGACAAGTGACATTTATGTCACCACAACTCCCATTACACGGGCATAGCAAAGGAGAGAGCTGGGCCAGGGCAGCAGAGGGATGGCCCAGAAGGTGCTGTAATGTACCTGGGGCTTCTTGCACGGTGGTGGTGCCCCTTACCTCCTCTCCAGACCTGAACGATGTTCCTGCTGAGTCACATTTGGACTTCGGCTTGTTAAGGTGACGCCCTAACGTTAAAAAAAACTTTTGAGTAAAAAACACCCACTAGATGGCAGAGATGGCTTACAAAAGGAAGCAGGAGGGAAGCCAGACAAGCTGTTAGTGGTGGCATGGATTATTTGCATTATTGCAATGTCAGGGAGACACAGGAGTGGATCTGGGTACTGCTGCCCCCAGTGCAATACCATCCTCCAGGACCACTGCTGTCTATAAAATCACTATAAAATCACAAGCATAAGGCCAGAGACAGCACATGGATGTGGAGAGACAAGAAGGCACTTGTGTGAAGGTAGAAAGAAGAGTTCCCAGGGTTTTGCAAAGATATTCTATTTATAGAATCATGACAGCCAAAGGGAATCTGTTGGCAGGCTCATATAAAGAAACTTCTAGCTTAGCACTTGGGCCACAAACTTCACCCTTGGCAACAAAACCCTGATATTTAAAAGAATCCTAACTCAGCTCTGTGCTGTGAACATCCTGTTTGTTTTCTCTTCTTCAGATCTGCACCAGCAGCACAAAGAGGACCTATATCTTCAGACAGAGGAGGCAGCTGGAACAAGCTCATGTTTGTTTCTTTTGCAGGCTTTCTGTTCAGATTTGCTTTAGTGTACTGAGTTAATCAAATGAATCCATATCCTCTGTTTGCCTTAGCTTTGCCTTGGCTATAAATTTTGCTTCAGCTGATTTCTAACTGCAGTTTCATCCTACTTTTGGGACTGCAAAACCTGCATGTTAAAACCTTGCATTCTAGATACTGGCTTGTTTCCGTATCAAAAATTATCCCACTGTTGCTAGAAAGCCTCACCCTTCATTTTCTTTTTCTAGAAAAATTCATGGCTATTTCCTCTTATCTTTATTCTCCAGAATTAAACCAAGACTAATACTTTCTGTTCACATATTTCAGAAAGAAAAATTATGTATACATCACCCACAGAGATTACTTGTTGGTAAAACTATCCTAGCATCTGACCTTGGAAACTAAGGGACTGATTATCATGTTTTGGGAAGGTGAAACATAAATTTAAGTAGGAGAGATCTTAAATTGATACACACTTGATACAAGATGCAATAGGTAAAACAGTGGAAAAGTAAACTCATTTTCATAAGTGGTTCCAGTACCTGGGCCAAGCTTCAAAACTGGGTACAGCAAGATTCTGGGTGCATATTGCATGCAGTAATTTAACACGTAATATCAATTGCTTCATCATCTGCACAGCTGTTCCTCAGCTGGCTGTTTCCTGGCCCCTGGATAGCAATTAGTCAGAAATACCAGGTCTAGAAAGTTCCCCAGTTTTTCCAGCACAGTGTGATTTATGGTATATCAAATTCAGATGAGAACCTGCCAAGTCAGACATTGGCCTGCTTGCAGTGAACTCGGATACAGGGTTCAGAACACACTGAGGAGAGAGCAGATGCCATCCTGGAGGTTTCTTGGGTTACTTATGTGAATTCCAGTGCTTCAGCTAGAGGCTTCTCTAAACCACCAAGACATCCAGCTACCAGGATGACCCATAAGCCTTCAGAAAAAAATACTCATTCTACAGAGAATAAGTGTATGTAGCTATTTTTTGCACATTTTGTGTTAGCTTCTGTATTATTTATTTGTGTTTGTATTGACTGGTTGCCAGGAAACTTGGAGAGGATGTTCCTGTTATCTCAGTGAATCTGATTTAAGGGTCCATAGTAGATTTGCATCCTTTCAATCCCTGATGCAACTGTATCATGCTGTATGTTTGAAAGATAAAGTATTTAAAATATGTTGTAGTTGCTTATTTGTCTTGCTTCCCTGCCTGTAATAATCTTTAATTTGGTTTTAATGCAAATCTCTTTACATTACACACATATTTGGGTTTTCCTACATCATAGGAGGGTTTAGGCTCCAGCCTGGAGGATTTTTTTATCTGTTTCAGACACAAAAAAGTACTGAAAGTACAGAAGTACTGAAATCAAAAGTTACAGACCTTTAAAAATCTGGGCTGTATTATGCCTCAAAATTGTTCCCTATCTGTGCTGTATCTTTAGTTCTTTGATTAGTTCCTTGAGCATCCTGTTCATTTTTTATTGTTTTATTTCATGTTTTATTGCTTACAGCAGCCACCAGAGTAGTAAGAAAGGTATCTGTAACACCTCAGATAGCTAAAGGTGTCTGAGTCACACCTCAGATAGCGAAAGCCAAGCAATTCTGATCAATCTTCTATTTGCCCACAGCAGATGGCATCAGTTCTATTTGCCCACAGCAGATCAAATCAGACACATTTTGGGCCACAGGCTGTAGAGATCGTGTGTGTGAGGCTCCCAGGTGTCCCAGCCATCATCAGGGCTGGTGTGTGCTACCTGCTGACCTGTGTGTGAGATCCAGAGAGCAGCTTAATCCCATTAACCAGCCGTGTGCCTTTTAGGCAACTTGCAGCCACAAGCCAAGCATCCCAGCTGGCCAACTTTTGCTTTCCAGCTTATGAAAGCTTTCCAGCCTCTGCATGTAATTGACTCCAGCAGCACAGTCAGTGCTGGCAGTTGCACGTGGTACCAAACACTCTGTAGAAAGTGTTCTGTAGAAATTCTGTTTCGGAAAAAAAAAATTAAAATATTAAATAGGATCACTTCAGTTTAAACAATTGAGATTATTTAATGCACAGCCTTATGTCAAAAACAACACACTCAGAACCTCTTGCAGTGTTTTCTTATTTCTAATGTTCTTTCCTCTTTTCCCATTACTTCAACTCAGTAGCAATGATAGCAAATTTTTTTCTAATACCTGTTCAATAAAGTGTCTCAAATTTGCTTAAAAAACTTGGGAATATCTGTGAAGATTTTTAGCTAACCAACTAATATAGCTAGTAAAAAAAAGCAACAAGGAGAAGTTCTAGACACATAAGTTTCCTGAGACTTTTAGAGGCAGCAAACTTCAAGGTGAGTGTGAATCATTTGTTCTGAGTTTAACATAATGGTTTTGATCTCTGCAAAGAGCAGTGTGACTGGTGTCTCAGGCTGAGGGGCAGGAGTGTCAGCAAAGCAAGAAATAATAAGGTCATTTGTTACTCCCAGAGGGAGGGAGAGACATGAACATGACTTTTTTTTTTTTTTTCCTATGTGTATAAGGGTGTGAATAGCACTATTTGCAGATATACATTACAGTGAAGTGGTGATCGTCAGCAAGGTGAGCCTGTCTTGTGTCTTGAACACTCAGGAAATGCTCTGATTAGCACTGTAGGAGCTGTGCCAAATGTGGAGAAATCATACTGTCCAAAAGGCATCTGCCCTTTTCCTTAAACTCATTCAAGCCTGGGGAATTTCACAAATATAGATTTAAAATGTTTCAACCATTCATATTTGTACTAGCAGTACTACAAAAACAGCTATCTCCAGATGTGAATTTGAGGGAGAAAATGTTTCAGATGAAAACGATATGTATATCACTTATTTTTGAGTCCTGTTGGATGCCAAAATCCCGTGTGAATCTATTCATACCCAACTATTTGTAACAAATGAAAACATCGGGTACAGGAGCATTACAAGGTTTTCTGCATTTGTGCAGACAGACCTGTGGAAGCTACTGAGACTAAGGCAGTATTTCCTGCTGTGCCCATTTTGTGGACCATGTAAGAACTCAGTTATCTCACATTCTTCATTCCTGTATAGAAGTTAATATAATCTCCCCTCCTACTAACCTACTTTTTCTTTTTTGCTACATGCATTTCAGTCATTGTATCTGGCAGAAGCTGAACTCCAATTCAGAGTAGTTCCTTTTTTCCAGCTTGTATATGCATGCACACATATACATCTGCTCACACCTGCTCTGCCTATTTTTAAATGCAAATCCTGAGTGCTCTGGAGTAAAAAGTTATGAGTATAAAGTGAGGACAACTTGATCACCTCTCTGCCCTTTTTACACTGCCGGTGTTTATTTTTGTCATATTGGTCTTGATGTGATATTCAGCAGACATGACTATGTTTTCAATCAACAATCTTCAGTGTAGTGAAATGTGATCTGAAACCTCAAGAATTTGAATAACACTTTCTGTTCCATTAAAGATAACTCTTTTATAGTGTTTTTCTCACCTGAATTACCTAGAAATAATTCTGATGTGTTTTGCTTCAACAATAGTGTGAAGTGGAAGAAGAGTGCTTTTAGCAGAGCCAAGAAGTTTGGTTTAAAATAGCTCAGTATGGGGAGGCACAGTATCTTAATTTAGCCAAATGTCAGGGTGGCTCAAACACTTCACAAGTTCTTTTTGCTTTTCAGGTTTTTCCTAATTCCAGCTTCTCCCCGGCCAAAATTTGCATGCAATTTTATGTAAGAGGCAAAGAATATAATCTGTCAGATTTTGTTTACAATCTGCAGGCATCTGATTTCCTAGCTTCCTGAGAATCATGAAGGCAAGCTCAGAGATCCTCACTCCCTTGCAGCAGCAGCACAGTCCCAGTGCAGGCTGGCAGGGAGGCTGGTGCAGGAAACTGGAGCCTGGGAGGGTGGCACCAATGTCCCCTCACCCTGTGCCAGAGGGCCCGTGCTGTTGGCAGCCCCCTCCTCCAACCTTCCCCCTGTCTCTGCAGCTAAGGTGAACCTGATCTCCATTCAGATGAGCTACTTTGTATTTTTAGCAGAATATGTGAGCAGAAAATGATGCTGTTCCTGGAAGAGGAAAACAAAGCTGGAAATTATAGTGTACATTTCCTCCCAGCGGCAGGCAGTGCTGTGGAAGTGATGTAAGTGATCTCTCACTTGTGGACATTTGACTAGGAATACCTGTGGGCTGTGGGGGCAGTAAATGTGGTAAATTCCATAAGTGCAGACAGAGAAGATCCTCGAGAATTCCTCCAGTATGCCTGGAGTATCTTACGCCCTTTTAGTTACAATACTTAATAAATAATTAAAAAAGAATCTAACTATCATAGGCAGAAATCAGAATTATAAGTCAAGACTGTGGGGAATTCTGAGTTACCAAACTGCAGGAAGATTTTTTATTTTTTCCCTATTTGTGCTGGTAAAGTAAAGAGTGCTAAAGAAATTACAGGTGTTCTATCTGCTACTCTGTGTCAAGGTACAGATGTGGAAAAGATCCTAGGTTACTTTGTGCCATTCTGAAGAGCAGCAAGCAAAGAAGAAAATTAATAGAAATAAGTATCCCATGGAAATTTTAATCTTCTGATACCAAGTTCCAACTGTAGGAAATGCTGGCCTGTGTGGAATTCATTTTTACTTATCCCTTTGCTTTGATGAAAGGTACCAGAAGATCCAGAGCTGGTATTTCCACAACTCAGAATGTATGCTCTGGGCTTTCACCCAGAACTTTCTGTCACCACTGCACATTAGCAGGGGGTTATATGACATATATCACTTGACATATATCACTTCAAAAGCAGTAAGCATAACCAATAGTCTTGTAAAATGCAGCATCAAATCCCAGACAAATATTTCTACACATGTATACAAATGCATATTTTACATAGCTGCCAACTAGACAAGATCTTCGTCAAGTTTTTTGGGTTTTGACCTTTGAGCCATCACATAAAGCCTTTACAAGTGGCCTGCTACCCTGTGTAATTCTTTTAGGAGTAATTGTGCTATTTATGCACTCCTGGAGTTGAAGAGCCTAATTCTGTATCAACTTTGTTTCCTTGGCTGCCTCAGTGAGATGGGAGCCTTATGGGTATTTCTCTTCAGAATGTGTGAGCAGCATGACAATTAGTCCTGGCTAGAAAACAGGCACTCAGTTTCATGAAAGTTGGTAGGATTACTGCATGTGCTTTTCCCCTGCACTAAATTAAACCTTGAAAATGCTTTGCCCAAGAAAAGTACAGCAACCTCACCAGAATCATCAGAGATTCCTCACTGATAGGATGTAGCTTTGGTAAAGCTCTCACTTACTTGCAAACTCAACTATCACAGCTCTTTAAAATTTTTTATAAATTAAATATGTCTTGAGTAAAAAACACTTTCTTCATATTCTGATTCAAGTAGAATTAACGAGTCATTAAACATGGCCCTCCCACTCTTCAGAGCTGGGCTTTAAACAATATAGTTTGGAATGTGTTTTTCTAGTTTGCCAAGGGCATAATTTTCTGAAAGGCATAACAAAAAGTGGTGAAGGTGATACAAAAGAATGAAGCAACCTGTTTCCCCAAAGTGTTCTGGAGCTACTCCACATCCCTCCCCATTGGAGCAGTGGGCTGGTGTGTAGGAGATCTCTTGGTATGTTGCCTCATTCCTTGACAAAATCAATGTGCAAACCTCAGCTATGACTTTGTTTTGTTACAAACCCAGCACTTTGGCTAAAGAAAAAAGGAATTGGGAATTGCAAAATACAAGAAGGAGCACTGGTGGCAGCAGGAAATTCTTCAGGAACAGCAAAGCTCAGGATGCACCTGTAGAATTGCCAGGCTCTCCCAGGGAAGGGGAGGGAGCAGATGGAGTGACACTGAAGAGAGCCAGCAGGGGAAACAAGCACAGAAATGGGAGAAAGACACTTGGTCCAAAGAGGGAGAATTTTTTGGATCTTTTGGGATCTTTGTTTACCATGAACAAAGAAAGAAATCAGTAATTGGTGTGTGTTCCCGTCTGACAGAGAGCAGCACCGTCAGTGCTGTCAGGGCTCCAGCTGGCAGCAAGAGAGCTCTCACAGCCAGCACACAGAGAGGCTGGGCTGCTCAGACACACAGGGGACAGGAACCAGGCTGTGCTATCTGCATGGAGAATGATCAAGGACTGGCTGTTTCCAAACAGCCCTGCCCTGGACATGAGCTTTGAATGCACATCCAGTCATTTGTATTAGTTTGCAGGGCAGTCAAAGCTGCAGTGCAATTTGAAACATCAGAGCTGAAGGACAGATGCCACCACTTCTGAGACTGCTCAGGCTATGTCTCTGTTCATGTCAGGGCATCTCACCAGTTGCTTGATTCTGCTGAAATAATATGACTGTTCATATATCACATCCTAGAAAGAAACCATTTAAAATGTGTCATTCCAGTGCCATTTCAGCAGAGCACAACACCAATGGAAAAAGCAGACAATCAATTCAGGAATCTTAAGCTCTGTTATTGGCCTTGAAAAGCTTTTATTTCTTATGCTGTCTCCATAGCCTAGTGTGAAACAATATCATATAAAAAATTTGAGTTTATATAAAAATACAAAAAAATTCTACCAGACATACCATAGTTTTCTATGGTATGTCTGGTAGAACTTTCCTGATTGAGAAGATTTTTAGAGAAATTAATATATATAAACACAAAATTTAAAAAGCTTTTCAAAACATCCCTGAACCATTAATTGAAGGAGAACTTCACAGGAAAACAGGCAGTAACCATCCATACAAAGACAAACATAACTTACCAGGCAATCAGAGAGATTTTGTAAGTTAATTTACTGATCAGGAAAAGTTACTGCACTTACTGATAAAAGATTTCTTCTCAGTGCCATAACACAGTGTTTGAAGAGGGGAAAAGATAGTTTTCTTCCTATCTTCTTTTAGTGATCTCCCATGTGAAAGTAAGCACATTTGGAAAGACACAAATTAGGTGACATGGAGATTGTATTTTAGGACTCAAGGACTCAGAGTCCACAACTTCTGCTTTATGAAATCCCTAATGGAAATAATTTCTGGGGGAAAAAAACCCTAATCTCTCCTGACACAGCCATGCTGAAACTCTTTACCCCAGCTTCCCTTAATCTCATCAATTTCTTCCATCAATACTGATCTAAGAGGAAGCATTTCTTTAAAATCTTTACAAAGTCATGTGGATGGGAGTCAGAACCCTGTGAAAGGCTGAACACCACAGCTCTCCATGAGACACTTCTGTATGCTATAGCAACGAATCTTCCAAAAGAATATCAGAAAGTTTTCCACAAAGGATAATTTCTTCTACAATCTAGAGAGCATTGTCCAGATGAAGCTATACTCTTTTTCAGGGATACACAGTGAAAAGACAAAGGACAAACTGTGCAGCAATGAAATTCTGATTAAATATGAGAGAGGCTTCCCAAAGAAAT